AGCCGTTTGAGAAATGTTTCCAAGGGCTACAGTCCAAGCGCTGAATAGATGTATTGCTGGTAAAAGTACCTTTGAAGGGCAGAGTTGCTCCCATTCCCAGGGTCACCTTGCACCACATGCTAGGGAGGAGTGCACAGCTTGGAAAGCTCCTCTCTGAGCAAGAGGTCAAAAGACTTAAGACAGATAACTCTTAGTCTCAACTTCCTGATCAGGGATCTACATGTCACTGGAGGTGATGAGATTTTGTACTGTGTAAAATTATATAACTGGTATAGACTGAATGTTTGTGTCCCCCATACCCCCAGATTCATATGTTAAAATTCTAATGTCCAATGTGATGGTACTTAGAGGTAGGGCCTTTGGGAGGTAATTAGAGTTAGACGAGGTCATAAAGGTAGAATCTCATGATGGGATGAATGCCCTTATAAAGAGAGGTGGAGATATGAGCTCTTTCTCTCTTTGTAAGTACATACACCAAGGCAAGGCCATGTGAGCATATAGGGAGGATACAATGACTGTCTGAAAACCAGGAAGAGGGCCCTCTCCAAGAACCAACCATGCTGATACCCTGATCTTAGACTTTCAGTCTCCAGAACCATGAGAAATAAATCTTTGTTGTTCCCAAGTTATGGTATTCTTGTACAGAAGCCTGAACTAAGACAATAACTTTTTTTTTTTCAGAGCAATCAAGGAGAATCCTTTGGCAATGACACAATCCCTCCCAACCTTTACTAGTTCTTTTCTTTCCCTAGGTAGAGAGCAGGTTTAAAATGCTCTGAGAACAATAACCTTCTTTGAGAAAAGGACGTGGCTGGAATTGGCTACTTCCAGCTTTGTGCAAACTTGATACAGGAGCCAGGTGGAACTGAGGACTACTCAACACTTCAGTGAGACAGGACACAAAGCAGAAGCTGGGCTTAATGACAGATGACACAGAGTTCAGCCTTTTCCAGGGCCAAAGGCATAGCTTTGTTTCCTTGGTTCTGCCAAAGACTCTCTCTCCCCTTCCTCCTGGGAGTGTCTGGGGCTGTGCTTTCCATGCCCACATCTTTAAGAGCTCCTCCCCTGCCTCATCCTTGAGAGGGAGGGCTGAGGGTCCTCATTAATAATAATGAATGGTGCCGGCTACAAAGCATGGACCAGTAACAGGGTCAAATTCTGGATTCTTTGGTTTCAAACTTTGTAATGATTTCTCGTTCCTCATTTACCCACTTCCAGTCCACCATTCTCAAACACACTATTATTGTCATGGGCTATGAAACGTGTGTGAGGGGTTGGTTTTCTTCTTGGGTCTATCCTCTGCAACGGTTCTTTGTATGAACCATATGTGATACTTTGTGAGTGAGGGTGCCCTTGGGGGTTCTTTTCCATGTCCTAGAGTGCTTTAGTCTGTTACTGAAGGCTCTGTGGCCCCCATATTCCACTCAGGTGTTTTCTAAGAGGGGAAGGTGAGGAGGAAGGGAGGGATGGGAGTTGGAAAGAAAAGAGGAAGAGAAGAAGGAATGAAGAAAACCAACTGGGTAACAGCACTAATTTTATATTTGTACAGTTTTTTATAATTTTTATACTAAAAAACAATTTGCAAAGTGTTTTTCACAGGCATAATCTTATTTGGTTTTTACAAACACCCAATTTACAGATAAGGAAACTGAAGTTTAGAGAAAGTAATTGTCTATCTAGCTAATAAATGTCAGTGTCCTATCTGGATTCCAGTACTTCTGACTTTATATATAGTTTTTTTCTTTTCTGTATTGCTCCATTAAATGCAGAGACATGTTCCAACCTCCTCTTTTTGAGCCTATGCCAAAAACTCTAGGGAAAAGCCAGAAGTCTTAGTGGTCACCATAACTCTCTATTCACCAGTTATTGGAATTTTCCTGAGGATAGACTGGTACAGTTTGATTAGTTGACCAAAAACAATCATTCTACATTACATATATTAATGTTTTTTAGAACTTGGTAGTTTATAAAATATTTTCATATATAAATCTTACTTGAGGCTCATATAAGCCATGTGCATCTCAGAAGTCTGGTGATTGGCCCAAGATTTCTCAACTGGTAAATGATGGAGTCAGGATGAAGCACTAGATTTTCCTATTCTAAGTCTCATGCTGTTTCTTTTACCACATATGTCCTCCACTGTTATGAACCTAGACAGGTTAGCTTCTGCAGACAGCATAGCAAAGTGTCTGTCTATAAACGGACTCAGAAAGTTTAACTGCAGAGTCCAAATTCTTATCTGTTATCTTGTGGGGCCCCAGCATAACACTCAGAGCTCTGTCAAATCTTCAGCTAATTCAAAAGCCATTTGAGTGAAAGAAGCAGTGTTTTTGCTGATAGGGACAGGCCCAAAGGAGGGAGCTCTAATACTGTGAATCTCTTTGCTGATTAAAAATACTATATCTGTGATCATATACATAGTAAACCCTAAAGACTGTACCAAAAAATTACTAGAATAAATAAATTCAGTATAGTGGCAGAATACAAAATCAAGACATAAAAATCAATATCCTTCCTATATTCCAATAATTAACTAGCTGAAGAAGAAATAAGAAAGTAATCCCATTCACAATAGCTACCAAAAAAATGAAATACTTAGTAATAAATTAACTAAGGAGGTGAAAGACCTCTATAATGAAAACTATAAATCACTGGTGAAAAAAAATGAAGAGGACACAAATAATTGGAAAGATATACCATGTTCACAGAAGAATTAACATCATCAAAATGTCCACATTACCTGAAGCAATCTACACATTCAACACAATTCCTATCAAAATACCAATGACATTCTTCACAGAAATAAAGAAAGATTTTAAAGTTTGTATGGAATCACAAAAGACCCCATATAACTAAAGGAGTCTTGAAAAAAAAGAACAAAGTTGGAGGCATCACACTTCCTGACTTCAAAATATACTATGAAGGTATAGTAACTAAAACAACATGGCACTCATATAAAAAAAAGACAAATAGACCAATGGAACAGAACAGAGAGCCCAGAAATAAATCCATACACTTACATCCAACTGATTTTCAACAAAAGTGCCAAGAATATACAGTGGAGAAGGGACAACCTCTTCAATAAATGGTACCAGGCACTCATATAAAAAAAAGACAAATAGACCAATGGAACAGAACAGAGAGCCCAGAAATAAACCCATACCCTTACATCCAACTGATTTTCAACAAAAGTGCCAAGAATATACAGTGGAGAAGGGACAACCTCTTCAATAAATGGTACCAGGAAAATTGGATATCCACATGGAAAAGGTTGAAACTAAACCCCCATGTCTCATTATACACAATATCAACTCAAAATGGATTAAAGATCTAAATTTAAGACCAGAAACCATGAAACTATCAGAAAAAAACATAGGAGAAACACTACATGAAATGGGAGTGGGCAGTGCTTTTTTGAGCAAGACTACAAAAGCACAGGCAACTAATACAAAAAATACACAAATTGGACTACATAAAACTAAAAAGCTTCTGTACACCACCACACTACCACCAAAGTGAAGGAAAACTTACAGAATGGGAGAAAGTGTTTGCAAACTACACATTAGACAAGGAGCCAGAATATATAAGGAACTCCAACAACTCAAAAGCAAAAAAAAAAAAAAAAAAAAAAAACCCAAAAAAAAAATGGGCATATGACCTGAACAGACATTTCTCAAAAGAAGACATACAAATGGCCAACAGGCACATGAAAAAATGCTGAACATCACTAAACATTAGGGAAACGAAAATTAAAACCACAGTAAGATATCATCTCACCCAGGTTAGAATGGCACTTATCAACAAGACAGAAAATAAATGCTGGCGAGGTTGTGGAGAAACAGGAACACTCCTACATTGTTGGTGGGGATCTAAATTGGCACAGCCATTGTGGAAAGTAGGATGAAGCTTTCTTAAAGAACTAAAAATAGATCTAGTTTATGACCCAGCTATCCCAATATTGGGTATATATCCAGAGGAAATGAAATCAATATATCAAAAAAGCACCTGCATTCCCATGTTCATTGCAACACTATTCACATACAGCCAGGAGATGGAGTCAATCTAAATGCCCGTGGGATGAATGGATAAAAAAACCTGGTATATATACACAATAGAATACTATTCAGCTATGAAAAAAGATGGTATCCTATTATTTGCAACAATGTGGATGGAACTAGAAACCATCATGTTAAGTGAAATAAGTCAGGCACAGAGACAAATACCTCATGATATATCACTAATCTCTTCAGTCTAAAAACAAAGAAGAACAGAGGGGTTCTCATAGAAGTATATAGTAGAATAAAGGTTACCAGGGGTGGGGAGAGGAGGCAGTGGGGAGGAAAAGTGGTGGACCAAGGGGTACAAAGATAGTAGAATAAAGGTTACCAGGGGTGGGGAGAGGAGGCAGTGGGGAGGAAAAGTGGTGGACTAAGGGCTACAAAGCTATGCTATCTACCCTAAGTGAATCATTGTGCAGTATATGCACATACTGAAACAACACACCGTACCATACAAATATGTACAAGTAAGTGTTAAAATTAAAGAAAAAAACCAAACAAACCATGTCTGTTGTTAACCAACACTTACAAATAAAATCCTATAATCTATGAAAGGAAAAATGCCTATATACAGAACAACAGAGACAATGTCTTTGAGGTCAAGGTCACAGCTAAATGCTACCAGAGATTTTGGCTGGAGCTCATTAACACTCAATTATGACTGAGTTCTGTAAGAGGTCCATGAGACGGTCCCATTAATGCAAACGGCATTTCTTATGTCTGTTTTTGCAAATGAAAACAAAAAGCAATTATAATAGTGGAATTTGCTCATTAAACTGAACTAAAATCCACCATCAAGTGTCTTTCCACCTCCACTTCTGCCCTGCCACTCCCATCCTTGATGAAAAGCAATTGCTCCCCAAGATAGCATGTAGGCATTTCACTAAAATAGAAATGTACAATTTGATCATAGAGAGGGTGCCAGAAAACATGAGTTCTTACAGATATCGGAGGTTAGGAAGGTTCTGGAAGGCCTCTGGGTTGATGTACAGCAGGTTGTTGGCCTTTTCGATTCTACTGTAAAAGAGGAAAGAATATGCACGTGAACTGAACAATAGGGAATGCTGTAGCAGTTTTCACATTGTGCAGAGTACACCAATAAGTCACACCCAGTCACCCATAACCCATTCACTCACCCATTCATCCATCTATCTTTTCAACAAATATTGAGGAAGCACGCAGTGCCTTTGATTATACCAAACTATGCAAAATAAATATTAACTGTGTCCCATTTAAGTCTCACCACCTGGGACCCGTACATCACAGACAAACAAAGCGTTGGCTGGGTGAGTCATTTTCACCCTGAGCAGAGCTGGGTTTTTCACCAGTGAGGATCTTCCGGGGTCTGAGGAGGCTACTTTTGGCCTTAATAGTCTATGATTCTATGAATTAATTTAAGGTAATTATAGACTGGTAGGAAACAGAAATGGATCTGTGTGTACTGACATGCATATGAAACTGGAACATTAACAAGAGAATGTAAATTTGATTGTAGGAGTAGAGGAACCAAGGACTGTTGTAACATAGTTACTACATGCCCATTGATAGCACTAGATCTCATTTACATTTATCGTCTCCTTTTTCATCACAGTAATCTTATGAGATGTGTAATTTTATTATTCCAGTTTTACAGATGAGAAAACTAAGTCTCAATGGTTCTGTGTATTTGCCAAGGTTTCATGGTGAGTATATGGCACAGGCTGGTACCCAGACTAGTATTACCCAAGTCCAACTGCACCATGTGGGACTTATCTGAGATTCTGACTGTGGAATGACTTTGAATGGGAGGATGAGACAGAGATACTTGCTCATAGTCACTGGGCAACATTCTTGGGTCTTTAATACAAAAAACTCTGGGAGTCAGAGAACAGGGTGAGACTAGGTTCCAGGCTGGTGTCTGGGATTACCAGACAGAGATATATGACAGTACCATTTAGGCTGACTTTGACATCTTACAATGAAAGTCTAGGGATCTGGGGACAGAGCAGAGCCAGGACCTTGCAGGAATGTAAGAGAACTTTAAGGCTGTTGTCAAGAACAGCCATGAGGAACCCCCTAGGTTTCTTGCTTACATTTCATGTAACTTGGGAAGGTTGGAGAACACATCTGCCTCTATCACTTCCAAGACATCATTCTGAGAGATCTCTCTGCGGAGGAAGAAACATAAATCAGTTCAGTTGTACTCCATAAACATTTTTAGGACTCAGTGTAGAACCTTGTTTCTAGGAGTGTTCAAGAGACATACAAAAACTCCTTTCCTGCCCTCAAAGAAGTCAGTTGTAGTAATGAGACAAAACTAACATATTAGATGTCAATACTTACAGAACAATGGGAGAATATGCCCAGGACTGGCCAGTTAGCTCAGTTGTGGTGCTGATAACAACCAAGGTCCAGAGTTTGATCCTGCACTGACCAGCCATTAAAAAAAAAAAAAAAAAAACTGCCCAGGGTAATGGTTCAGTTTAGGGATTATCCTACAGGATGAGAACAGCCTTTAAGTTCTCTAGACCAGGGATCAGCAAACATTTTTCTACAGGGCTAGATAATAAACATTTTTTGGCTTTGCCAGTCATTTGATCTCTGTTGCAACTATTCAATTTTAGCCATAGATAACACATATAAATGAGCCTGACTGTGTTCCAATAAAACTTTATTTATAAAAACTGGTGGCAGGCTGGATTTGGCTCATAGACTGTAGTTCAGTGACCCTGCCCCAGAACAGAGTCGAGTTCTCGCTGCTAATCTGGCTTTGATGAGGTTCTCACCTCCTAAAGCCAGATTAAAATAAACATGCATTTAAATCCCCTCCTTCTCCATGACATTACCAAGTAGAGGTTGTTATCGCAAGGCCTTTGTCATTAATGGTGTATGGCCCAAAACACCTAGAAAAGATCCTCTAGGTTCCAGCTTTTTTTCTCCTGGAGGAATTTGAGGGCAGTGGAGAAGGAAGTCCACTATGCAGAAACCCAGAGCTTGTGAGGAGAGAGGGTGGCTTAATCAGTTAATATTTATAAAGTGGCTCACAGATGAAACTTGCTATTATTAGGCCTCCTTAGGAAGACTCTCATACAGTTTTAATGCAGCAGCCAAGAGTGTCTCAGGAAATCTCACAGGCAGCAGGCATTCAAATTGACTGAGGCAGAAGCATGGTCTGCTAGCCTGGGATTTAGCTGAAGAGTTCTAGAAAGGCTCTTGATAAAGGGAAAGGCCTGGAGCACAGGGAAGGGAGGAGGCCTGGGTGGGGGAGGGGAGGAGTGATTGTGAGCAGCAGCGGTCTCTGAGGGGGCTGATGACATCTGGGGCTTGTCAACCGTGGTGTCAGGGCCATTTCTTACACACCTCCATGCATGAGGAGACATTTTGTGAGAGAAAAGCTCCTCTTATTCTATGATAGCATCTTTCATTATTCATTTGATAAATTTGTCTTCACAGCTGAACATGGTAAAGGTGGTGTGTCTTCCCTCCTTCCTTCCTTCCTGATAGAACATGTTGGCTATTGGCCATTTATTTTGCTCTCTGTCTTGCAAGTGAAGGGAGTTCTGGGAGGTACAGGATCCAGGAGGAGGGGAAGGGGATGGTAGATGTGGAAGAAGAAGGCATTTATTATAACATTTAAAGTGAAAGAGTCGCATGGGTGAAGAATGAGGCATGGAGGGAAGGACTAGGTTACAGGGTGGGTTTAAACATAAATGAGGTCATGTTCTTCAAAAGCTATTTCAGGTTCACTAACAGTTAGCAGCAGGTTTGATCACCACTCATAGTAATAGCTTAATATTGCCAGAAAGTAGACATATCTCCCTGCCTGAATTCATGTATTGAGAATTGCCTTATCTCGATTTTTTTTTTTTTTTTGGACAAAAAGAAATTAGAACAAACAAGCCAAAAAGCACTTCTGAGTTAATTATTTTTGAAGGTAGTTCATATTTTATGGCCTCAGTTTCAAAAATGGAAGAGGGTGTTGGAGTGGGGTGGGGGGTGGGTGAGCCCTTGGCAAGATGAGGGTTGGGAGAAGGTGAACAGGGTACAGCAGCAGGAAAGTGCGTTACTAAGAAACTCAGAGACCTTGTTCTGGGCTAACCCAGTTCTGTCTCTAGTTATTTCTATTATCAATTATTGGGTGTCTACTATTTACCAGCCACTTTATATACATTCTCTGTGATTATTTTTACATGCCTGTGAAGTTGGCGTTTTTGGTCTCCATGTTAGTAAATGTCCCTGCCAGTATGGAAAACCATCTCTAGCAGGATTTACTTTCTTCTACAAGCCCAGGCCACACTGGACACTCTGGACCTTGGATTCTTCGCTGTTAAATGAGGGTGTAGATGAGATGGTTTGTTAAGTCCTTTCCAAGAGAACAGTGCAATGGGCCTTTGTCTTCAAGCAAAGATGTTCTGTAGAAGGCTTATTTCTAGAGATGAGGCTGTCCTCACCTACTAGGACTGTGCTTCTTGAATGTTAACTCACACTAATCGCCTGGGGGATCTGTGAACATGCAGATTCTCACTGAGAAGTTCTCAAATGGGGCCTGAGGTTCTGCATTTCTAATAGCTCAGGTGCTGGTGCTGGTCTCAAAACCTTACTTTGGATTTCAAAGTTCTCTAGGGAAATTGTACTAATACCCTACCAGACGTTTCTCCCCAACACACATCCATACACATGAGTGGGATGAGTAAACCACTTGATTTAAAAAAAATCTACACTCCTTTCGAAAAGCCTTCCTTTACTCTATCATCACTGAATTTCTCCTGTCCTACAGGTTCTCACCAGACTTTTCTCATTTCTCAGTGAAAGCAAATACCACAGCATTCTGTAATTACTTTCTTTTTCTTTTGTCATTGTCTAATTCCCACTGTGACTTTGGATTCCTGGATGGTATCTTATTCATCTATCTTTGTATCTCCAGCATCTAGTGGTGAGTTAGTATGTAGTTAGTGCTCAATAAATGATTAGTGGGATGGATGAATGGATGGATGAGTAGATGAAAGAAAAGAATCTTCAGGACTATGAATGGTGCCTACTAAATGCAAAGGAGAAGTTGATCTACTATTGTATTCATTCATCCTTTCTCTGTAGACAAAGTGCCCAAGTCCAGCAGATGACTGACAAGCCTAGCTTGTCTATGATTGAAGCTTTTGTCCTGGGGATTTTTACCAGCATACAGCATGTAAGAGACACATGCATGTATTTGGTATGCTATATTAATGCCTTTATCCTTGCTTTTCTGGGTCACAGTTTTTCCCAGCCCTTCTCTAGCTACCAGATGAGATCCTTAAATTGACAAAACACCCATAGAGGAGAAAATAAAGGAGAGGACTGGTGACTGTAGGGGTTCATAAGGCATCTGATTGGGGATTAGAGAAGATGACTTTTAAGTTCCCTTCTGTGCATGATTCCACATTTGTATGAAGGAAGGGGAAATGTACTTGCATGGGGTACTGAGGGTTATCAGGGCATTTTCTCTGGAGTGGGTTTCAGAGCCACTATCAAATTCTCCAGATTTGCATTCTTCTGGTCAATGGAGTGGTATTCATTTACAAGTATGTTTGATGGAAGGGTGGAATGTTTTCTTGTAGGTGGGACTTTAGGGAGTGAATGATCACCTAGAATTCAGTTAGGTTCAGCATAAAGTTTCAAACTATCACAGAACAATACTAACATGCCCACCATTACAGCTGATCATCATTTGCGAAATATGGGGACTGTTTCATTCCAGGCATAGTAGCTACAAGTTTATAGGATAAAGAAGAGCTGAAGAGCTGTGACCAGTGGTTAAATGCCTCACAGCATTTCAATGACCTGAATTGTAGAACGGGATTTGATAAGAAATCAAATACTCACAGAAACTACTTCTTTGCTTTCTTCCTGATATTCTTGAACTGGGTCTTCCCCATCTTTTCCCCCCTCCCCTGCCTCTCTCTTCACAGGGCATTTTCCTACAATATATCCAGTATATTCCTCCCTAACTGGGTACATTAGAGATTTAATTGCATTAAAATATTTGTAATACTCACAGAATCAAATTTCTTTCTTTTGTTTTTAATAACCTCAGACTAAACCAAGTTGAACGTTTTCCTCCCAGAGTCCCCTACGCCCTCTGTCTTTGGTCCTCCCACACTGCATTGGGTTTGCTTTCTAGTTTGTCTCGCTCACTAGGCAAAGAACTCCTGGAGGACAGCAACATTATCTTTTATCTTAGTATTCCTCCTTCCAGCCAAGTGTTTGATGAATGAATGAATTATCTTTGAAAGATTATAAAAGATTTTTCACCTTTGCTTTTGCACAGTAAAGCTGTGTTCTTAAAAACTTGCAGTAAACAGAGTATTTGCAAAGCAAATTGTGTATGCACACAGGAGGGAAACTTCTTGTTTAGCAGAAACTTGGAGTGAATCTTTAAAGAGTGGAAAAATAATTCAACAAATGTTCAACAAATTTCGATTAAGCAGCTTCTGTGTTGCAGGCACTGAGACTGGTGCTGGGAATTTAGAGATGAATAAAGTAGGTCCTGAGTTTTATCAATCATCTCTAACTCAGCAAGGCTTTCTTTAACAGCATGCTATTTTTATTTGATGGGCTACATTTGAGTTAAAAAAATAAAATGAATTCTTGGTATATTGCATTCCAATATAATGAGATATGCGTGTATTTATGTATAGTATATATTATATGTATGATATATAAATTATATATTATAATTATATGTGTAAATACACATGTTATATATCTCATTATATTGGAATGCAATATACACACAATGCAACTATATGTGTAGCACCTATATATATTTATATATAGTACATATGTATATATATACATATATTATATATAGTATAATATGTGTAATACATATATGTAATACATACAATGTATGTATAATATATGATATGTATATATATAATTCATATATTAGACAAACATATTTTGTGTGTGTGTGTGTGTGTATAAAATATGTAGTTTTCTGTATTTCTACCACATCTACTCCCTCAATTCTTCTGGAAATATGCCTTATATATAGTATAATATGTGTAATACATATATGTAATACATACAATGTATGTATAATATATATGATATGTATATATATAATTTATATATTAGACAAACATATTTTGTGTGTGTGTGTGTGTGTATAAAATACGTAGTTTTCTGT